TCCCAGCTACTTGGGAGGCAGAGGCAGGAGACTCGCTTGAGCCCAGGCGTTGGAGGTTGCTGTGAGCTGTAATGCCACAGCACTCTGCCCAGGGGGACAGCTTGAGGCTCTGTCTCAAAAAAAAAGTGACTCAGAATTAAAACATTCTAGATATCTGGCACCAAGACACACGCAGGAAGAAGGCAGCTGTGTAGCTTTTAGAGAATTCTCCAGAGGATGTTAGAAACAAGATTCTTTGCCTGCCCATCAAGAAGTGGCCATTGATTCCCATAGAGTAAGTCAGGTTACATCAGACCCTGATGTTTCTCAGACCACAACCTGGGAAGCAGCCTGGAGGGTAGAGTGGCAGCATGGAAGCCAAGGAGCCAAGGCTCCCATGGTCTGTGCACCCCAGACACGGCAGACCGCAGTCGGATCTGGGGAGAGCTGTAGGCTCCTGAGCAAACCCAAGATAGGCGAGTGCTCACACTAAACAGGAAGGAAGTCTCACCATCCAGAGTGTCTGCAGGTCAAGGCACCATCACCCAGGGAGATGGGTGTGGGAAAGATGTCTCAGTTGGGCCGTAATGGCCCAAAGCAGGCCAAACCCAACTTGTAACTGCCTCCTGGAGATCCTGACTTCTGAGGGATCCAAACATCTTCCTCATCCCTGGTGTCCCTTGGTAGTCTCTCGCCACTACCCAGGGCTGCGGCTGAGGTCTCAGTTTGTCTGAAAAGGCCCAGTGGGCCCCGGCATTATTTAAAAATGCATTCCCCCACCCAGCAGCCCTCAGAGGCACAGCTAGATGGGAAGAGCCATGATGTCTGCCAGAGATGAGACCCACCTCTGGATCCTCAGGGAAGATGTTGTCAACCAGCCTTTTGTACCTGGGGCGTAGAGCGCCGCAGCAGCCACACACACCTGGAATGGGAACGAGAGAAACCCATGAGCAAAGCCTACCCCATTAAGATGCTGGCAGCTGATAAATAGTCTTTTGCAGGGTATATGCATTTTTTAAATAAGTCTTGATGCCAAAGAAAATAATCTCTAATAGTGGAACCTCAAAGACACTTGGGTGTCAGGGTATTTATTTGAGGAAACCAGTATACAAGTGTCTGCAAACTGTGCTATGACACTATATTGGGCTCTGGAGTATCGTTTGTTTGTTTCTAACCCTTTATAAACCCATGAACAAACCCAAGCATCTCCTGGTCAGCCTAAGGAGACCTGGGAACCAGAGGGGTAGCTTATGGTCCCCCTTGGAGTGTCAAGGCCTCGTCGTCCCCTGGGGCTGGCATCTCTCGTCGCTTCCCTACCCCCACATTCATGACATCTGCCATCTTGTTTCACATCTGTTGCTTGGGAGTCAGGCACAGATACACATGCATGGGTGAAGCCAGGCCACAGAGCATTTTGAGGTGTTGTGTGTGGGAGCAGACATCAGGTCGGGGGCCACCCTCACATTCCACTGCTACACACACACATAGACACACATGTGCACACACGCACCTGCACAGCACACACTTCTGGGACAGGACTATAGGGTCGTCACCACTGTCAGGAGCCGCTGCTCTGCCCTACCCACCTCCATTCACTCCCAACTTTCTTCTCTGCTCCTCAATCTCCTTCTACCAGCCTGTCTCCTGGGGCCACTTCCATTATAGGATGTTACGTGAAACTATGATAAATTAACGTCACCATTAATTATTAACAGTTGAAAATGCATCTTTAATGTAGTATGACCCGGTATTTGAAAACAGCAGCATTTTAGAGGTGGTTTATGGTTCTGAAATGCCAGCCTCCTGGTGAGGTTTTCACCAATCTGTGGCAAAATGATAAAACTAAGAACCATGGGGTAAGATTTTATAAAGGTGAGTTTATTCCGTTCAGAAGACTTCTTTCCTCATCTTTTGGTGCTGCGAAGCAATGGTTTTAGGAAATCAATGATAACACAACTTTGGCAAAATTAAAAGTTGATGACTCTGGGTCCTGCCATAAAAAGTTTTCATTAAAAAGGAATGAGAACCATTATTCTACACATCCCAGCTCTACTCGTCATTCGCAGGGTGAAGTGGGGCGAGGAGGATGTCAGGGAGGGGCCTGAAGAAAGCCCTCCCCCAAATCAGTGCCCCTTCATTCTATCAATTAAAAATGAATTCTGTTTCTAAGAGCACTTCTCTACTTGAAATGCAAATGCATCTTGGGAAGATTAAGCCTAAGGGTCATTCAGAAAAGAATGAATTCCTTTAGTGGGAATTACTTTAATCACACAAAGAGGCTTAGGCAGGGTAAGAAAGGCAGCTCTTTGAGAGGGGTGTGGGGCGGGCACCATCAGGAGGAGGCAAGAGAAGCGATTTTTGTTCTAGGGTTGGTGTGGGTACTGGGGAATATGTCTTCAGCGAAGCCAAAGGCCAGCAGAATTTGTGATGCCCCTACCGCAGGGATAGCTGTGTGCCCCTCAGCCACCAGTGCCTGCCACCAGGCAGGGAATGGCCAGTGAGTGGGCCAGCAGCAAACTCAGGCTCTCCAGTTCCAGTCTGGCCGCCCTACCTCACTTCTGGCATCTCTGCATCCCTGCCCTGCCCCTTCCAGGAAGGAGGTGTTGGGCTCTGGCAGGTCAGCTCTTGGGGTTATTTCTCCAGACAGGACAGTTCCTGAGGGACACGTTCCCCTTGGGCCTTGAAGCCCAGGGTTCTCTGCCTGGAGCGGCTGTCAGGATGTTTCTTCCAAAGTGCCAAGCAGGACTCGCTCTACACTCTCCCAGCAACCTCCTTCATCAGCATCTCTAGAATAGTAACATAGTCCTTTGCATTTTAAGGGAGTGAGGAAATTGAAACATGGAGAAACTTCTTAATTTTCTTAAGAAGGCCATTTTCTTAATAACTACTCTAGGCAGAGATGAGTTACCACTGAGATTATCACAGAGCAAGGGAACTAAAGGCTACAGGAACACACAGAAAGAGAGGTACCTGTGAGGCACTTGGGGATCTGGTTAAAATGCAAATTCTGATTGAGCAGGTCTGGGGTCAGGCCTGACTCTGCATGTCCTCCAGGCCCCCAGGTGCTCCACTGTGAGTCTGCAAACCACCAGAGCACGATGGCTAAGAATTTGGGATCAGAAGTCAAACAAGCTTAGGATGAAATCCTAGCTCTTCTAATTTCTTACTTAATGATTTTGAATAAGTTACTTAACCCAAATCCAAGTTTCCTTGTGCAAAAAAAGAAGGGGATAAAGGTCCCTGCCCAGGGCGCTGTGGTGAGGGTTGAATGGGATAATGCATCCCATTGCCTCCTCCTCCCTTCCCAACACCTTGAAGGAAAGACACAAGAGCAGGGTGAGGCCCGACTAAGGATGGCTTCAGACAGGCTGAAGAGTTTCGTTTTGCACAAATGAGCAGGGAGCTCTGGGAGGCTCCCTAGCAGAGGCTGACAGTATCAACCCATTCAGAGGTAGCAGGTAAGATGGGACCAGACTCAGGGATTTCAGGCAGAGGGATGTGTGAGTGAATCACCCAAGGCTGGGGAACAAATGTCTGAACCAGCTGATGTTGTTAAGACAGGAAAAGAAGGGGCAGAATCAAGTGAGACTCAGGAGCAGGAGGAGGACGGACGCCTGCGGGTCTTCAGGCAGTATCTAGAGAGCAGCATGGGGAACACAGAGGCGGCTGCGGAGGAGCAGTGGGAACAGCTGGATGGGATCATCCAGCAGGTGGTTGGTGAGGAGGGCGAAGGCTCGTGAGGAAGACCAGGGCTGAACCTCTGAAGGTCCCTGTCTGGATATGACCACTGATGCTGTGAGAGAGGGTCCACCTGCTCAGGGAAAACGGGGAAAGAGGGACAAAAGGCAGAGCCTCCCAGATGGTTGTCCGTTCCTTTCCCTCTGCCAGCTGCTTTTCTGTAAAGCTTTTCACCTTTGTCCTTATTTCTCTCCCACCGACGTCCTTTAAGAGAAGACATTTGGCGCCTACAGGGTGCTTACTTTGGTCAGGAAACATGTTCTTATTAGCACTCCCTTAAAAACCCAAATCCCCTACTACTTCAGTGATCTGATTATTTATTTAACCCTTGAGATACTGGCAGCTGATAGTCTTCTGCAGGGTATATGTATTTTTTCAATAAGTCTTAATGCCAAAGAAAATAATCCCTAACAGTAGAACCTTAAAGACACTTGGGTGTCAGGGTGTTTATTTGAGGAAACCAGTATACAAGTGTCTATAAACTGTTCCTCAATACTATATCGGGCTCTGGAGTATCATTTGTTTTTAACTCTTTACAAACCTAGTTTTGAGGAAAATAAGGTAAAGAGGAAAAAATAATAGCCTTTTTCTGGGGGGAGGGGTATAAAAAAAGTTAATAGTTTTTTGTTTGTTTGAAGCAATATACCACAGAGCCGATTTCAAAAGAGGATGTGGTGGGTAACTATAGAGCCACAGGGCAGATTATATCCCTACTGGAGGAAAGAAAAATGAGAAACAATCACTAGGAAAAACAAACCTAAAACTATTACTTTACCATCTTATCTGCTCTGCTTTAGAATGGAACTTATTCCATAGCCAAAGAGATTTTTTTTTGGAATCTCAGCCAGAGGACAGAAAGGCCCATCCACACTTCCCGGGCGGGTAATCAGAACTGAGAGCAGGTGATAAAAATTCCCCTCTCTGATTAGGCAAAGAGCCAGGAGGGCTTTGGTGGGGAGCACCCCACCCAGCCTCTGGGGTGCTGGCACCCACAAGCACCTTTGGAAAGCTGCCAACCCAAAGAAGGTGAATCCAAAGTAGCTACAAAACCTAGTGAGGAAGAAACCCAGAAAACATAAAAAAGAAATTAAAAACAGATCATCGTAATGAGATTAAGTAACACACTTTTACACACGTATTCCTTTAATCTTACTTTTGAGGGTATTTATTCTTAACGTTAGTACAGAAGCGGGTAGACTTTAACTCATAGCTATATGCTTATAAAAGACTCATTTAATTCTGAGCCATTTTATTTCTAAGAGACACGTGCTTTCCACTGTAGTCTTCTCTTACTCTCTGGGGATCGCAACTGGCATATCCAATCCCAGAAACTCGAGGGCAGACTTATAAAGAATCGTCTTCTGCCACAAGGACCTGCCTTACCTGACATTTTTATACCTATTTTAAGAAAGACAGGGAAGAGTGATATGTTACCTTCACTAATGTGTGATTCCTCTGTGGCTCATTCTGCCCTGACCACAGGGGCCTCCTTGCAGGACCCTGCCTCAGGGCCTTTGCACTGAATGTTCATCCAGAATGTTCTTCCCAATATCTTCTGGGCTCCCACTCTTATTTCCCAACTGTCTCTGCCCAACTTCCACCTAGCTGGAAAGAGGTTCCCTACCCAGCACTTCTCTTTAATTTTCTGGCCTGATTTATTCCTTTTCATAGCACTTTCTACCAACTGACACATTTCATCTGTGTTTATACTGCCTCCCTACGTGAAAGTGAGCTCCTCTAGAGTGGGACCTCTGCTTGTCCATGCTGCATGCCGGGGCTGGGACAGGGTCCAACCCAGGAGTGTTGGTGGTAGGGGGTGCTCACACATATTTGTTGAATGAAGGAATGACAGTATGATTGAACTGAAAAGCAATCATGAATTTCAAGGCATTTAGCAAAAGATCTCTGGGTACTTGCAAGAGAATGCATCTAGGGCGACCCCAGGGATAAGTTCCTGTTGTAGAATCCTTGGTTTCCACTCCTGAACCTGGTGCCCAGCCCATCTTCTAGGGCTGCCACCACCTGTAGCCGGAATCCCAGCTCCCTGAGTCCAGTCTTTCCCCAGGGCAGACATGTCTGACAGCAGGGAGCCTGGGGTCGGGGTTCCTTCTACTTCTCCCATGCCACATGCTGGCCCTCTGCCTGCCTTGTCCGGACTCTCCCAGCCCCCTTGCTGGCTCTTGG